AAGAGCTCCGAAGAGCTCGGAACTCTGACCACTAATTGCCTTTGAAATAGAAAGTTGGGGATCCAGCTTAAAAGAGGGTCTCCGATCCCGTAATGCTGCAGCTTGGAGAGTAGTATCCGATGGTCTAGACGATCGAAAGCCTTGGAAAAATCCAGGTAGACTACATCAACACCTTCTCCAGCGTCGGCTGCGTCGGTCCAACTACTGCGTGCAATTAGTAAATTAGTTGTACACGACCGCTGTCGACGGAAACCGTGCTGTTCAGGGAGTGATGATGTTGCAGTTTTCCAGATAGCACACCAGTGCATCGGCAACTATGGATTGCATGACCTTGGAGAGTATAGGAAGAAGGGTTACTGGGCGGTAGTTGGAGGAATCAGTTCTGCTTCCACCTTTGTGAATCGGGGTTATTATTCCAAGCTTCCACATAGCGGGAACTTGGTTCTGGTCTAAGCAGCGCTTGAAAAACTGAGCTAAAGTTCCTGCCAGTTGGTTTTCTGCTGCTCCCAATGCCTCTGGACGAATGGTGTCGACACCCGGCGAGCTGTGTTTGCGTAGAGAAGTCAGCTTTTGCAATACAGCCTCCGCGGTAAAATTAATGTGGGTTAGTCCTGGTGAGCAGAACACAAAGCTTGGTAGATCGCTTGGTGGAAAGACTCCTTGAAACGTGGGGGCGTATTGCATCTGCAGCGCGTTTGCAGCTTCCATAGACGTTTTTGTTGGGCCATCAGTCGTCTTGAGTGAAGGAAATCCTTGCCTCATCTTTCGTAGGCTATTAACGTGCTTGTACAGCAGTTTGTGGTTAGCACTGAAGGTTGTTGCGATGTTCTGCTGATAAGTGGTTTTGTCTTCTCTTAACATTTGAGTGCAGTGGTCACGTTGGGCTACTTAGTTGTCCCAAGTTTGATGGTGTGCCTCGTACTGACGAGAATGAACTATTTATTTATTTACAATTCAAGGTGGACTTGTAAGGAGCAACCGCCGACGTTCTGCTATACAAACATGTCGCATCTTCCACGCGATACAGAACGAGTGTTGAACCATCCGTTGTAAACATTGTGCTCACCAACGAGGAACCAATTCGGTAATGTTTCCGTAGATGCACCGCTTGGACGTAGCAATCATGGGACCCCGCTTTCCTGCGATTTCTGCTTCGCTGAATACACATGTTCAAATAAGGTGGAAACCCACGCGGTCACTCATTACCACATGCTGTCCTACATCGTGCAAGAAACCAACTGATCTGTCCTAGCTGAGCAGCCTTCGGATGTCCCGTGGGAGGCATTGGTCAGCCATTTTAAATAAATATAAATAAACAAATAAACGTTTTATTCCTCAACAATGCGAGGCACAGACCAATTGGGTGGTCTTATCAACATGTACAACGTGATCGCACAATATAGTTAATTTTTCGTCTTTTGATCAATGGTTCCAATATGGGCTTTTGAAGTGATTAGCAGTTTGGAAAATTAGAGAGATAAAGAAACTGGGAACAATAATAAATGCAGATTTCACGGAAAGTTCAAGTAAAGTAATACGGCTATCCATGGAACTGTCCCCAGGGGACTTGCTTCCATGCAGGTTATTCCCACGATGGGTTTTACCCGCACTTCCATACTCCAATTGGCTCTGTGCCTGCGTGGCAAGATAGCAAATAGGCCATCAGAACTGGGTATCAAATGTCTTTTTTTAGGGCTGTTTTATGCATACATTATGGGCGATGAAGTCTCAGCCCGTTCTGTTATGCGCATCAATCAAGTATGGCACGTTTTGTTTTAAGCCAGCAGGTCAGTAGTAACATGATTTGCATGGGTATACTTTTTATTTTGGAAGCTGTAATCCGTCACCACCAGAGATTAGCCCAGTCAAGACCAACAGTGAAACAAAGAAGATAAAGTATGAGGAATTAAAAAGCATAATAATGAATACAAACGCTTGCCGATAGGCCAATCACAATTTGATGCCAAACCTTGGCTAGTGACGGCGGTGTTACAGAGACATCAGCTTGAATGGCGTAGTGCAGCTACGAACCAGTGCGTCAAAGGAGAAAACAGAATTGGTTAAACGGAGTGATGGGAGCAAGATCGTGTAGAAATACATACCCAATAATGTAACTATATGTAGGTAACCCTATAATACTGTAACGAATAGAGGATATGACGACTTTCAAATGTATCCAGGACCTTTCTCATACAAATCATCTAGAGTCACCGTTTGTCTTACTGTTGACCAGATATTTGCAACAGTCAGGTGAATATTTATCATTCGTCTGAATGGCGGATAGGTAGTGCAGTTTCTAATACTTAATGGAAGTTTGTTCCATATTAACGCCTATTTTACGTAGAGAAATTTGAGTGTAGCTTTGTGCGAGACTTTTGTGTTTGCACTGTGCGTTCGCTGTTTCTTACTTCATAGCGCATACGAGTCTGAAACTCGAGTTGTGGCTGAGCAGTGAAGCTTAACCCGCATAGTAAGCGGTATAGAAGGCACAGATTAAGTTTGGGTCTGCGTAGCCATAGCGGCTTTAGATTTAGCACCTCACAACGCTCACGGTATGTCACAGTATTAGGCAGGTTCAAAAAGCATTTTGTGAATGATCGTTGAATGTTTCTTAGTGCTATGATGTCCACTTTTCTCAGATTACTATGCGTTATCGTACAGTACTCAAGCTTCGGCTTAGCACATATTCTAAAGGCTTGAATCCTGAAAGCTCTCAAGATAAGAGTTCGACTTATATAGGCGATCACTTCTCTGGCAGAAGCCTGCAAGTATATAACATGGTCTCAAAAGTTAAATGAGGCAGAATATCTTAGACCAATTCTCGGACTGCGCCACACACAGGAATAGGGGTATTGTTTAATGTAAGGGTGATCAGAGAAGGGCCACAGCCGTAGTACAATAGATTACTCTTGTCCGTGGCAAAGTGCAGCTTCCAGGAGTTACTCCAGAGCTCCAATGCGGACAAGTCAGACTGAATATAGGCTAAGTTAGGACTACATTGTCCAGGGGCGGAACAATACACAATTTTTACATCATCAGCGAAAAGGAACGGCTTCCCGTACGAGATCTCATCAAGGTGGTCGTTGAAATAGATTAAGAATAAAAGCGGGCCTAGCACGCTACCTTGAATCACTCCACTAGAGATTGTAGTGGCTTCAGACGTGTAGTTACCGGCTTTTACTACTTGCATCCTACCATCGAGGTAGAAAGACAACGAATCTAGAAGCGAATTTATGATACCATAAGACATTAGCTTCCGCAACACTAAATGGTGTGGGACACGGTTAAAAGCCTTTTGGATATCAAGAAATATGACGATTATGACACTTCCGGCGTCTCTTGCTCTAGTCACATAATCAAGGTAATCTAACTGACAAGTAGTGCACGACCTACCTTTCAAAAAACCGTGTTGATGTTTACTGAGGAGACTCATAGAACCCAAATATCCTATTATGCGTTTTTTAACTATCCTCTCCATGATTCTGGAGATAGTAGATGCCTGGTGGACTGGGCGGTAATTTTCTTACATTGTGCATAAATTAGACTTTGTGTCGTGGTATTAGAGTTGATTGTTTCCAGCGTATAGGATACTCCCCAGTGAGCATGGAAAGTGTAAATACATTAAGTAAAAACAGGGGGATGTCTGGACGTCTGTGCTTTACCAGTATTGGAGGGATGTTTTCAGGGCCTGGTGAGCATGATGGCCGAACTAATCTGAGTTGGCGACATATGTCACTAAGTGTAAATTCAACAGTTTGGAGTGTATTTCTGCCTCTGCGTATCAGCTTGATCTGAGGATCTTCTTTCGCATTAGTGCCATGATTAGACATGAAGCAGTCATTGAAGATCGAACATATGATTGCACGATTGGTTCATCATCATCATCCGAGGTAAACGCCCAAGAAGTGGAAATCACCGGCTACTCATGCTTCCGCTGCGATAGACCATCAAATGATCGCGGTGGCGTTCTACTTTACATAAAGTCTTCCTTGTGTGGGAGACTAGTGAGCGCCTATCAAAGCGCTGATGGTCTATGTGAGCAGTTATGGTGTTCGATACACCTCAGACGCTGCGAGTTGCTCGTGGGCGTGGTATATCGCAGCCCACTGAGCCGCAGTTTGGACTGGTTGCCGCATGTCCGCAACCACATGAGTCGTCCGATGTTCCTACTCATGG